TAATATAAATAACGAAGTGACTATTTCTCTGAACGTTCGGGAAAATAAAGTTGAACTCTATTTCTCCGAACGGTTTCTGATCTCGAGATTTTTTGGGTTATTTGGGAGATTTGGGCATCATCCTTTCATTCTGCCATTCTGCGAGGACTGGGAAGAAGCATTTTTGCATCAAATTCAATTTCTAGAGCTAGAGATTTTTAAATGTCTGAATTTTCAGATGGCCGGCACTATTTCGCCTAACGTTCGGGAAAATAAAGCTGGGCACTATTTCTCCGAATGTTCAGGAAAATAAAGCTGGGCACTATTTCTCCAAACGTTCGGGAAAAATAAAAGCTGGGCACTTTTTCTCCGAACACTCTGAAATCACACCCTTTCCCGCAAATTTCGGATATAGATCTATAATTAATATTATAGGCTACCAAAGATTGTTCGTATACAATATGGTTCAATCGGTCCAAAAAATGTCCGCAGTAAATATTTATACATAGAGAGAGAAATGCTACAGTTCCAAACAGTTTTTCGCCACAGATATGACGTGTTGCCTATGAAGAGTGCTGCTCTTAAACTTAAGGTGTTGTGTTCACTCGTGTGCTGTGTAGATCTAGATCTATGGAGGGTTATTGATAACGACACATAGAAGTAGCATCTGCGTTTGTCGCGGCGGCGACCAATCAATCGCGGCTCTATTTTTTTATTCCCGAATCGGGGGATAAAAGTCAAGAAGAAAAAAAAGAAACCGAACCTCTTTACTTTTGAAAGAAAGTTCACTTAGCTTCACTTCGTCTCTTTCTCACTTGTTGTCACGTTGATTTGTTGAATACGTTACAGTTACATTCGATTTGTATTGCTTTTCCTCTTTTATTTTGCCCTCTTTGTGGTGTTTTATTTTGTTGGTGAGTAATTTTTTTTTCTTGTTATATTGTTCTGATGTGTTGTTTTTCTATTATTTTTTTTTGTTAAGGGGAAGGGGGGGGTGTTGTATAGTGTAACGTCATTTGATTTGATGTTCCTACCTTCATTAGATTCTAAATATATATACATGTGCATATATATATATATTTTTTAATGTGTTATGTAAGAGCGTTCCACCAAAACTGATTACATGTACTGACACTGGCATGTAATATCCTGTACTTTTTTAAAAATTACGCACATTTAGGGTTAAAACAGCCAATCTTCTTCGGACAGGTGGACACACGCCCTTATTTGTTTATTTTTGTGGTCGTTTATGGGCTGTTCTAATTTTGATTTCATTCTGTTGTGAAACCTTTCTTTTTCACGTTTTTACACTCTTCTAAAAATCTGTAGACTAGCTCTTGAAAAGTGAAATAGATCTAGATCTAGACCCCAAAATTTACTCCTTCCCAGACGTCGCAGAATGTCAGAATGAAAGTTGGCGCCGAACTCTCGCAAATAGGCAAAAAATCACGAGGCCGGAAACCGTTCGGAGAAATAAAGATCGGCACTATTTCTCAGAACGTTCGGAGAAATAGTCACTTCATTTTCAGATACTTCAGTTGTGGTTGGGGCAACGTTCCCTGACTATACTTATACTTCATTTGAAAATACCTTGAAAAGGTACTGCGAAAAAACAAGACTGCTCGACCTTGGCAGTGACCTATTTTGCATTTAGTCACTCAGCAAAAACTAACATCATTCATTTTAAAAAAAGAAACCCTCCTCCCGTTCTCACATTACACACACACACATGCACACTCACCCACACTCACATGCACACTCACTCACACACACACACGGGCCACTCCATTCGCTTATTATCAACAAATCTCGAGAACGGAAACCGTTCGGAGAAATAAAAGTTCAAGTTTATTTTCCTGAACGTTCGGAGAAATAGAGCCGGCCTATAAATAGTACATAAAATCTAGGTTAGGCCAATCACACCCCTGTGATTGGCCCAAATATAGATTTAGATCTAATCTAGACGACATATATCCGCCATCTATTTTCGTCGTCTTCCGATGTTTCCCACAAGACTCTTGGGTTTCCTTCGCCAGTAACTGTTCATTAGAACTAGCCGATGTTTTTTTGGTTTGTATTAATTTGTGTTATCTTTCATTAACAATCTCAGCAACTCTCGTTCCATAAATTTACGTTCTCCTCAAAGTTGTACTCACACACGCACAAGTGCGCACACACACTCATGCGCGTGCCCTCACGTAGCCCATCGCACGCTAAGCAGCAAAGCGGGCCCCCACGGTGAGATCTAGTCAACTGGCAAGGGAAGCCCTGGAAGACGACAAAAATAGATGGTGGAAATACGTCACCTATATTTGAGCCGATCACGGAGGTGTGCTAGGTGCTTGCTGTAGCTTCATGTGTTCTTATCAACTATGGCATTATCATGACATGTAAGGGCTCTCTCTCTGGACTCTGACTCTGAGGTCTCAAGGCTAAATAAAATCAAAGCTATTCAAATGCCATAAAAATCGCCCCCTTCCACCCAAAGATGAAACGGGACAAAATCAAATTTCTTCTATAAAATTATGTAGTGGTAGTTCCGTGTTTTCAGCTTGGCCTGTAAGTGTAAGCCAGAGAGAGAAACGCTGCTTAACACAGTGTAATCCTTGCTACTAAGCTCGTAGTGATGTTATGTGCACTCAAAGCATAATTGCTTAGCAATGGCAAGGGAAAATTACATTTTTATCCATATTTCTTTAAAACAAGCTTAGGAGGAGTAAACTCTTAGAACTGTGGTCTTTAAATTTTAAAAATCCATTGCAAAATGAAAAAGTATATGTTATGGGATTTTTTGTTTTCTTAATTTTTAGGGGACTTTTTTAATATGAAAATGTCGTAAAAAAGTGGGGTGGTTATTTATGTATCTTGAAGGAACACATTATAAATCAGTAAGGAATTGGAGTATATGAATGAAACTAGTCATCGTCATGTGATTTTTAGTGCAGAGTCTAGTCCTATCAGTTTTTCAATGTCGTGAAAATTTTTAAATTATGTGACACTGCTTGAACAATAGGGGGGCACAGGTTTGCGAGGCAATACAGAACGTAATAAGTTTTCTACCCATCTTTTCTTTTAAAAAACTACTATGGTCTGATTTTTAAAAACGCTGGGCAGAAATTAGTTGAATTTATTCCTCCGATGCAGAAATAACGATATAAAACTGATCTTAAAAGAATCAGTGCTCTTTTCTGATCAGCCCTTCTAAACTTAACAAAGCGGTATGAAACCCACAATGGACTCATTGGTGACCTTTTCAGTTTTAATTTTAGGCAGCCAATCACATGCAGCTTAGTGATCACAGGCCTTTCACATGTCGGCGGGCTAGCTTGTTCAGTTTGTGACCCAGTTTTTGACTCGTGTCTTACATTGCTGGATGGGTGGTAATTTTAAGTTAGTACGTAAACTGTACTACACAGGGAGATCTGAAATTTTGCAACTATAAAAGAGACATGTGGTGCACCTGTCTGGTCAGTGTCCATGCAGCAGCAGCTTTTAGTTTTTGAAAAGGGGAAGAAAATCACACAAACACGGCGATTTTTCCGGTTCTAGAAATTCGGCGGCATTGGACGCTCGCATGCGGATACCAAGTTTCATTCATTTTCGTCCTCTGGTTTTCTGGTTAATGCACTGGTTGATCGGCTGTGCCCGCCCGGGTTTTTGTTCGGCAAATCATGATCTGAAATGTGGGATCTTAGCCGAATGTATAATGTAGACCTTCAGAGTAAATCAGAGCAGGATCTTATGGGTGACTTTTTATAGTAATAATTCTGTTTTCTTAAAACAACGGGATCTTAAGCGAACAGGGATCGTAAGCGGTGGGATCTTAAGCGGAGATTACTGTAATGGGAAAAGTTAAAATACACCTTTTTTAACATTTAACTGCTTTTTTGTGCAATATTTGAGCAACTTATCATTAACAACATGAAAGTACCGGTACACATTTTTATTTGTGTTAATTTGCAATATTTGGGCGACTCAGGGTAAATGACACGAATATAATATACACAGTGGCAATAGAAACTTTGCACTTAGAGAGAAACCTGTATTGTTCCTACTATTCATCATATAAAAACAAAAATTGACACAGACATATTTCAAAGTATGTCAAGAAGTGTATTACCTTTTGTTTCTTGATCATGTCTCATATGGTGGCACCGTGGTAAGCCCAAATTGGTACCCATTACTTTCAAAATTTCACGTCAGTAGCAGTATTGTCGCCCCCTTGCAATGATGCAAGCTTTGTATGTTTTGCGTATTGATCGAGTCAGTTTTTTTTCTTCTCTTTTTAATTAATTGTTGTGGCAGTCCATTCCACTTTGGAATCAATGCTTGTCCCATTCGTTGTACAATGTTGATGTCATTTTGGGCGCTAACTTTTAGGTCCACAGTGGGACTTCTGTGGCAAGTAGAATGGTAATTGCAAAACATTCACATTTTGCTGCTGTAGATATTGCACCTTTACACATGTCTTGATGTAATGTGTTCATACGTCTATGGGTTTGAAAGAAGGGAAACAAGTACCTCCGCAGAACATATCTGCTCTTCAGCGCGATGCACTAGTGGACTGAACTGTCAGAACGCAACATTGGTGAATTCACAGTTCATGGGTTGCTTTTTGTTTTAATGTAAAGAATCCAAGATTGCGGACAGATAAAAATGATTTGAGTAAAATGCAGCAACCACTTAATAAAGTATATTTATGGTATAATATGGGGGTCGGGTGGATTCTTCTTTTCTTCAAAAGTTTCTTTGGTTACTCACCAGAATCAAGTCTAAACTAAAGTTATTCTATGTAGAAGAAGCAAAGTGGATAGATTTTAAAACTACTATAGCCTCTCAGAATCATCAAATATTTTTATTAGATTTTTAAAGGTAAAAACTGATCTAGAGTTAAGCAGTTAGGTTGTTGACAGCATGAGAGCAGTCTAATTTTATCAAATGCCGGAAACATTTCCATAGATATGCACACACACACACATATATATATATATATGTAGAAGAAAAGGGTTGGTGGGGTATCTGATTGTTTTAAATGAAACTATATATATACAGTTTATAGTTTAGCACACACGTTACTAAATTGGCGGGATGCGGAAATCTTTTTGCAATTATGAATTTCAGGCTATTCAAGGGGAATAGACAATGGTGGACAATTGGGTAAAAGTTTTACAAGAATGATGTCCCCTTTGCTGCACAAAGATGATTTGCGTTGGGTTCACAGTGGCTTAGATTTGTAGATTTGAGTTTCGACATTGATTTTTATCCCACGTTCTGTCATGATCAGCTGTTTTTTCCTGACCGAGAAGCTTTTCCACTTCTTTTGCTCCACCATGGTCATTTTCTTACTACAACTTAATTTTTAGAACGTATGCAAGTGTTGTGAAGTGTGTAATCTCTGTTGAAGTGGAAATACGTTGACACTGGTTGTGACAATACCAGATATGTGCCTTTAAGGGACCGCAGACTCCCCACATCCAACTGAAGTATGCTGGGTGGAATCAGATCTACTTCTGAACACTTCTGTGAGGTATGGCAAAAACACGTCCTTGCCCCACACTGCTGCTCTGCTGTTTATACAGTGGTCGTCTTCCAACTCTCTCTCTCTCTCTCTCTCTCTCTCTCTCTCTCTCTCTCTCTCTCTCTCTCTCTCTCTCTCTCTCTCTCTCTCTCTCTCTCTCTCTCTTTCTCTCTCTCTCTCTCTCTCTCTCTCTCTCTCTCTCTCTTTCTCTCTCTCTCTCTCTCTCTCTTTCTCTCTCTCTCTCTCTCTCTCTCTCTCTCTCTCTCTCTCTCTCTCTCTCTCTCTCTCTCTCTCTCCCCCCCCCCCCTCCCTCCCTCTCTCTCAACAGCAAGACTCAATGCACAAAAGATGAGTTTTCGTCGAGGGTCGTTCTTATACCAAGAACTTATAAGAAAAAATATATGTAAATTTCACAATGTTCATAATAGACCATATGTAGGTTGCATCTTGATAAGTATATTAAATATGTTTTTAATTCATCACTGTAATTCTTTTTTTCAATTTCAGATGCCTCTGAGATCCTCAGCATAAAAGAATTGAATGGGAAAAAGCTCTATTATATTCACTATGAAGACTGTAAGTGATATTTGAAGGCCCTTGCATTGTTAGAAATATACTGTGTGTGATAATAGAATTGCATTAGAAAATTGTGGTGGCGTTGTGTGGAACCCTTAGCACTTCAAACACAAACTGTTTTATGCTGCTTTGTGATATTCAAACATTTTTGTTTTTCTTGTGTGTGCCTTGGATCAGGTCAGTTGTATAATGATTTAGTCTGGAAGTTATATAAAGACTAAATTTATTCCAAAAAAATAAAATTATTTTGTTGTGATAAAAGTTTACCAGGTTTTTCTTTTTGTTTTAAAGTTTAGAATCTTGTATATTTGTTTGATTTGGTACAGAAATATTTAAAGCCATGATTTGTTTCATTTAATTTCATTGTTTGCTACTTTTTCAGACAATAAACGTTTGGATGAGTGGGTCCCAGTGGAGAGGATGGACCTGTCCAAACTTGAGCAGCCCAAGAAGGACGTTAAGACACCAGTGAAAAAAGCAGAGGGTGTGTCTGCTGGGACAGGCTCTGTGGCTGGAGCTACTACCACAGGACCTCCCCCCGCTGGTCCACCGAGGGTTGTCAATGGGGGGTCACGACCTCCGAGTCCCGAGAGAGAGCCAGTGGTGAGTTTGAGCTGACTTTTTTTTTACTCTGTACCAAATTCATTAGAATTAAAATTACAAATCAAAATTAGAGCTAATCTACTGAATGGAGGGGGAAAAGGGTTGGTGGGGTATCTGATTGTTTTAAATGAAATGTGTGGAGTCCGAAACATCTCAAAGTGGACACGTCTGAAAGTATGTGAGGCTTTGAATGAAATTAGTCGGAAGTCATCTGTGCCTGCCCCCATCAGGTCAACAAGAGCAGAAATGATGGTGATAATGATGATTGAGGTCTAGATTGTGATTTGTTCTTCTGATGATTCTTCTGAGCTTATGGGTTTCTTGACCCTGTTCAATCAATAAGTTTAATAACTTATTTTAAGAATTTTTTGTTTATGAAAAATCTGCTGTACAATACTGCAAAAGTCTTCCAAGATTCAACAACTTCTGTTCAAAATGTATATTGATTGCCTTGGTAATTTCAATTAGTTCCCTAATGATGTAAACTTTATTGCTTGAAGAAAAAAAAAATTGAGATCTGCAATTGATGACAGCCTAATTTAAAGGAATTCTTTTCTCCGTGAATATTAGCAATGTCCAGCAAAGAAACATTTAGCGGTGAGAGGTCATTAACTGGTAGTGGAACATTATGATTTAAGTTCGCCTCCTAAAAAAGAAAATGTTGCATGTTTTCGTTTCTTGTAGACACATACCTCATTCTATGGCATTTTCAGGGGTCAGTTTTTCTCCAGACTGAGCCTTCAGTTAGCAGGCTTTCATGAAAGAGAGTAGGACAAGAGATATAGTAGGTGTGGAGAAAAGATTAAACCCCTCTACCAAAAGGAATGTGGTGTTTTCCAGAAGGGAGGTTTCACCGAGCTGTTTGGAGAAAAACTTACTGTTTATGTCTCTGGCCTTACCAACTTACCAATGTGTGTGG